TATCAGAAAAGATGATAATTTAGATTAGATTCTTTAGTTTAAAAAAGATAAAATACACTATTGATTGAATAATTTGATTAATTCAAGTTTAAGACTTTTAGCTAGAAAAAGTATAGAAATAAAAAGAATAGATTAGTTAATAATTAATATATAAAATTTCCTTTATTCTGTCTTATAATTACCTTTAAAAATATTTATATTATATAATATCTGTAAATATTAGTATAAGATTTAGACTAACTGATAAAATTAGTCTAATTACTCTTTTCTATTTACTATTATAATTCATGTTAGCAAAAACAAAATTATAAATAAATAATATAGTCTGAGTTTATAATCAAAATCTTTTCAGAGTTCTTTCTAAATAAATATAAAGTATTAATAGCAAGCAAATAAGCAATAGTCAACAAGTCAAGATTATTTTGATATAGATATCATGCAGTTAGAAAATTGATTTTCTGACTGTATTATCAAATCCCTTCTGAAATAATTTCAGTCACAAATATTATATAAAAAAATCATATATTCACCAGGCTTTAGTTAACTTTCTAAAGAAAGATAATTCAATCAAATTATTACAGATTTAAAGAAATAAAAATATTTATAATGAAAAATAAAAATAAATTTCAGATAAGATATTAGAATCTTTAATTAATTTAATATTAGAAAAATATGAGATAATAATTAGAAAGAATAAATAAATTATTAATTTATATATTATTTAAAACTTGTATTATTATTTTTTTAAATAAAAAAATAAAATAAATAAAATATTAATTTCTGAAAAAATATAATTTAAAAATTTTTAAATGATTTTTAATATCATTATATATATAATTATTATAAAAAGTAATATCTAATTTTTTTAAAAAAATAAATTTTGAATATATTTTATTCTGTCTTATAAATATAAAAATATTTTTTATTATTATTAATTCTTATATAACTCTAATATCACTTTGATTTCTCAAGATAATTAGCCTATAATCTTTTCTAAAATTAATATATTAAGTTTTCTTCAGAGTAGTCTTGAGCTTTTTTATAATACTTAGAAAGCTTTTATATTTTAAACATTATTTTTCAATGATTTGAAGATATTTTTATGAAGTTTAAGTCATAAGAATATAATATTTATTAATTTTTTTATTTAATTCTATTTATAATTTCTTTTTTTAATAAATCAAGTATTATTTTTTTGAAATATCAAATTAATAAATAAATTATATTACAAAAAGAGACCAAATTATCTTAGAGAATCTTCAGATAAGCTTTTATATGAATTTTTTTTATCAAAATTATTATATAAAATTTGGTATATCTTTTTTTGCATTTTTTATAGATAGATTTTTTCTTGATTTTTAAAAGTTTATAGTCTTCCAAACAGTAATAATTCTTTGATTTTTTTATTTCTTTTATACTTGACAAGAGACTATTATACTCTTATCAGATTGTATCAAACTTTCTTGCAATATGTTTGACACTTATACTTTAATAAAAATTACTAATATTATTCTAGTTAAAGACAATTTACTGATATAATAGGTATCATATTTACATCTAAAAAATTCATCTAGTATATGATTAAAAGTAAAAGAAGAAAATAATAAAAAAATTAGGGTTAACAATAACAAAAAATGAGAAAATGCAATACATATATTTATCTATCTAAATTGTTACATATGCAAATCAGGTGTTACTTTATATAGCAACTGTACATATAGTATCACACCAAGTGATTTACACATATAACATAACACTATATGATTAGTCTATTAAGATTATTTGACAATCAAATTTCAGAAAATTTTATCATAGTAATTTATTATAAAAAATTAAAAAATGTTATAACTCTTGCTTTAATGAAGCAGATTTGATTCTGTCATTTGCAAATTATACATAAATGATATGACTTTGAAGATATATAAATTTTCTAATTTCTTTGAGTAAATGGATTAAAAATAATAAAATATATATTATTATTAGTTATTACTATAGAAACTCATTAAAAAACTATCAAATATGCCAACATAATTTTAGAATATAAGTCTTTGAAAGTTTGAAACTTTTTACCGTATCTTAATTAATTTTATTACAATAAATAATAAGATTTTAAAGATTCAGTATTTTATAAAGCAGCAAAATGCTCGATTTTATCCAATAAAAAATCCTAACTATTAGATTTTATTAGTATTTTATAAACCGACAAAATGTTCGATTTTATTTGAAGAATTACTAAGTTTGTTGACAAAGTAGATCAGCAAAAAAAGACGCCACGTTGGTGCGCCGTTCTCTTATCAACAAAACCTGTGAAAATTCTTGTTATAAGTTAGGACAAGATCTAAATTGTATCATAAAATGCGGTATTATTTCCTATGTGAAATAATCCCGAAATTCTGTTATATATATTTATTAAAACATCATGGCAAACTCAATAATGTAACCAATTCAAATAATAACATATTGATAAAAAAATGCTATAAAAGGAAGATGTGTATTTATTTGTAAAAAGAGTTTAAGATCCATATCTTCTTAAATAAATTAATAAAATGACTAATTCCAGCATTAACTACGAATATTTGACTGACACTGAAATGCAAATTTTGCAAAAGTCTTCTTATCAGATAGCTCTTCGATTGACGAATTAACAAAATCAGCTGTAAAAAAATGCACTAATTTTGTTAAACCATCACGTCCACAAAACAACTGGATAATTTTTCGAAGAAATTATGAAGCGTATTTACGTTTATGTGATCGATATGCCAAATCGAAAGTCAGAGAGACAGCCAAGGAATGCAGCTTGAAATGACAAACGAAGTCAAACATTTCTTCAAATATTAGAAAAAATAGCTTGTGAGAATCACAAGAACCTATACCTAATTATAAGTATAAGCCAAAAGACGCAAAAGATTCAAACATTAAGAAATGGGTTTTTCGCGAACAAAATAAATACGGGTGATAAAAAAATGAATGATATCGGATCGACAATTATCGATACGACTTCTATGATCAATGCTAATTCACCAAAGCCACTTTTATGGTCAACAACGATGCATCTTTATTCGTTCGTGAAATAGATACAACATCAAAACTATCGGCAATATGTACTAACGACGTTTCCACAATCTTCGATACTATTCCTTTATGAGTTCTCCAATTCTACCTTCTACAATCAACGATGATACTTCGTTATGATTGACACCATTTCGACTATCATATTCTGCCGGTTTCAAGCAATGCCGGTTATAATATGAAGTTAATATCTATGAGGAAATTTTATATCGAAAATTTCGTCCAGTAACTTATGTTGCTAACAACGGGGTGTTGATTTCAACGAAGTTGATATTAACGAGTGCTACGTTATCATTACATCAATGCCATACGAGCAAACTTTGGGTGTCGGCGTGTCGGGAAATTTAGTGTTTCGGGATTATGTTAAGATTTTGATGTGCCGGGATTACCATTCACAATACATGTACATGTATATACATGTATAAAAAAATATCTTTAGCGTTTTTGTAACGGCAAAGAAGATAGCAAAGGTTAAGTTTTTTGATGCTGTTTATCAATTTTTCATATTTTTGTTTGTTGTTAAATGTTGCTTCGTGATATTATTGTTATAATGTTTATTGAATTTTGCGAATCCAACAACATGTATAGTTTATAGATTAGTTATCTAAATTAATATCTTTATAAATGCGATGCGCGACGCCCGATTTGTTGTTTCAATTCATTCTTTCACTTTACGAATTTATGTCTATAAAAACGATTACTCAATAAGTATAGCTTTATATTTATAAGCCCAGATATTGTTAAGAAGAATATTATATTTAATATTTTAAATGTAGAGTATAGATAAAATACTCTTTCTTGCCATTCTCTGAATTTATCTTCTTGAGCTAACTGAGCATACAATTTACACATCTATTCTATAATACAATAAAAAAGAGCATTCAATTAAAAATAAATGATATAATTAACTCGAAGATTATTTCATCTTCAATAATCGTGCTTGTTCTTGTATAATCTCATTATTCAACTTAATATGTTTTGCATAAGCACTTCGAGAATATTACATTTCTCGGTTTAGCGATAGTAAAGAATCGTCAACTTTATATAAAACTTAGCTGTTCATTTTCGGTTGCTATACAAATGAAGGTTAAAGACCAGATCCATTAATTTGTTTAACTTTGTCGTAAGTTTTCATAGCAAATAATATATATACAAATTTGTATTAACATTTTAAACACTTCAACACTTATTCGGAAAAGGAGAAGAGTATTTATAATAAGAATTTAAATTATGAATTAGGGTGTTTATTTGTTCCTTGCTATTTTCTAATAACATTTTTATTCTTAGTTTAGACAATTCCTTTTATCTCTTCGCTACATTGTTTTCATTATAAGCAAGATCTAGCATAAAGTATAAGCACATCATCAATATAAAATAGTCTTGCTTGAGATGTTATTGTATTTTGCAATATGTATTTAAACGCAGATTAATAACATAAATCTTTATAATAATTTGAGATGTGTTCTTCCTTTACAATATTGACCATTAATATTTAACGAAGATCATTTAGACATGCTAACCATAAAGAGAACTTCTGTTTGTATTTGATATAGTTTTGCGCTTATCCTACAGTGCGTAATCTCTATAATAGAAAATTTTTAGCCCAACATCTAACTCTATAAATGTGCCCCACATTTCCCCCTAAAAATTCTAATCGATAATTTGAATAAATCTTGATCTTAGCTCATAGAATTATTGGTTCCTGATTGATAAAAATCGATTTCCGCCAAGTTATGGTGGTTTAAATTATGAGTATTTACTAGAAGCCGTGAAAATTGACACTATGTAAATTCTGTATAACACCTCTTTTTTTATTTTATTGTCACGCGCTGCATTAGGCTAACATCTTCCCACTATTTTTTTTTTCCTTTTTTCTTGAAAAAAAATTATATCCCGGGTAATTGCGAAATTGCAAACAGCCTTTGTTTATAATGCCACCACCAATGAGATGTTCGAAGGCAGCAAAAACGCGAGCACAAAATCAGCCACGCAACCTTGCAACCGGCCAATTTAATCTTGAAAAGGCCTTTGAGAATCACGGCGACAGTGACGACCACGATGACAACCATGGTGACAACCACGGCGACAACCACGGTCATGACTATGACCACAACCACGGGAATGACCACAATCACAATGATTTTGACAGCGATAATTATGACTATAGTAACGATGACAATGAAAGAGACGATGATTATGTTGACAATATGTATTCTTCTGACTCAGAAAGGTCAGAAGATGAAGAAGCATCGATTTAATTAGTGAATAAGTTGGGGTTTTTGGGCTTAATGTAAACAATCTCAGTCAAGAATGAACAAAAAAGGCGTGCACCTTACATAGAAAACTCGAAAAGTATCAAATACCATAAATATGGACCTTCTGATCATTTCACTAAGGCTACACATTCTACCTCTTCCATTACAGATTTTTTTAAATCTCGTAATGCTGATAACAAACCATCAATGACTTTGAATTTGACAGAGAGTGTTGTAGAAAATCATGAAACAAATAATGACATTACTCTTGATTCAATAGTCAAAAATATGTATCAACTTGAAGATGGGAGTGACGAACAAGAAAAGGATAATATGGATGTGAATAGAAATGATGGAGAAGAAAGAGGCAATATGGAAGCGAATAAAAACAATGTGGATATTTTACTAAATGATCAAATTTTCAAAGATGTGAATGATGAAGCCTTTACTTCAAAATTTCAACTTCTTGAATCAATTCTCGCCCAGAATAAAAAAACCCTAATAGCATATGATTATCTTCACTATTGGACCATACACATATACTTTTGTAATTGGAAGAAACAAAAGATGAATCAAGTAGAAGCAAGTTTGCAGGCAGCAAAAGAAGTATATGGCAAAGGTCCATATCGTGCAAGAAAAATTTGTGAAATAGGACAATATTGGCTTGACAATGAATGTTTTCCAATTTCTTTATAAGGTTGTCATCAAAAAACAAAGTTATTAATTGATGATGAAGATATTGTTGCTGCAAGTATGAGGTTTATTTGTGAAAATAATGGAAAAATTACCCCAAGCCAATACAAAATATATATTGAAACAACACTTTTTTCAGACATCAATATATCTCACAAAACTATTTCTCTCAAAACCTCTGGAATTTGACTACAAAAACTTGGTCTCTGTCCGTAATCAAAGAAAAAAGGCATCTATTTTGATAGACATGAATGTGAGGATGTTTTAGAATATCAAAAAACATTTCTTAATCAAATGAGCGAGTATAAAAAAAAGATGCCAATTTTTGAAGGTGAAAACATGGAGCATAAAAATCCATTGTTTCAGGAGGATAAATGATTATATCTTTTAGTTATCCATGATGAGTGTTTATTTTATGCTAATGATGACCAACCAATTATTTGAATCCCTATTGAAGAATCATTTCTTTGCAAAAAAGACCAAGAAAAAACTATAATAATCAGTGAATTTTTTAATGAAAACAATTAGATATCTCAAACTTATTGAAGAGCAAGTTAATACACATTCTGAAATTCCTCATGAAGCAAGAAAATATTTGTGACCAGGCAAAAATGAAGAAGGATGGTGAATATCTGATCATCTTCTTGATCAAATTGTTAATTATGCAATTCCTATTTTTGAAACTCTTTATCTGAAAGCAGTTGCAGTTTTTGTATTTGATAATAGCATCAATCATAATGCTATGCCAGATAATAGTTTAAACGCACAAAAAATGAATCTTGGGCTGGGAGGAAAGCAATCTCTTATACATAATACATACTTTGACTCTAATAACACATTTCAAAGTATGACATTTTTACCAAATCATCCTACACATCCAAAACAACTCAAAGGAATGAAACAAGTTTTATTGGAACAAAATTTGTGGCCAGCAAATACAAAATTACTTGCTGATTGCAAATTGTATAAAAACAAAACAGCTGATTTAAACAGAGTAAATTGTTGTGCACGCAAAATCCTATCTTTACAACCTGATTTTGCAGCATAATATTCTAAAATTCAAGAAGTAATTGAAATCCGTGAACACAAGTACATCTTTTATCCTAAATATTATTGTGAATTAAATTATATTGAGATGTATTGGGGAGCAGCCAAGCGATATACAAGAGAACATTATAATTATACATGGACTGGATTGCAAGATATTGTTCCAAAAGCTCTTGATTCAGTTCTATTGATTACCATTCACAAATTTGCACAAAAATCTTGGCAGTATATGAATATTTATCGAAAAGGCATAACAGAAAGGTTGGCAGAATTTGCTAATAGAAAATACAAATCACACAGACGTGTTCCTGATTGTATTTATGAAGAATTAAATCAATGATTACTTTATATTTAATATAATTACCCCCTTCAAAATTTATTATGTAAATATAGCATGAGAAAAAAATTGATCAGCATAAAATTGGAAAAATAAAAAAATAAATAAAAATATATTTAATTGATATAGTTTTGTTCTAGTAATTTATTGGTTTTTTATTTGATTGCAAAAATTTTCTATTATAGAGGTTATGCACTGTATTAAAGATGGATAAATTAACACACTGAGGGAGATTAAACTGAAAATTTACGAGGTAGACAGGTTTCTCTAACTGTGTTTCTAAGAATTGTGTTAGTAACTACGGTTACTGCTGATGTTAAATGCGAGTCTTGATTATAAAGTTAATTTGGAAATTATTTGAGAAAGCAAAAGGGATTATGCCACATACTTTCTATTTTACAGATGGTCAAAACAATATACCAATGTTCTTATATTGCGGTTGATCGAAATTATTATTGCTTAAAAAGAAAAGGTCGAATAGAGTTTTATGGTCGCTAAATATGCTAAATGCACTAATTTGTACATTGTATATTCTAATTTTTTATTATTATTATATAGTCATTCCATTTTTTTATACTTTTCCTTTTTTCGTTGGATCCGGGATGTCCAACAAAAAGTATCACAAAAATGATCACAAGCAGTCGGTCATTTCGGAAGTTAACCAGCGCAATATATATGTGCTATTTAACCACAAGTTTGAAACAGTATAAAAAAAAATTATTTATTGCTATATATGTACTGTACATTTAAAAAAACTAACAGAACACAAACAATGCACAATTTATATTTATATACATCACAACAAAAACAACGCAAACTTCCAATGCACAACTTATATTTATATACATCACAACAAAAACATTCTGAACACAAATATTTTTCTTTGTTAGTACATGCATTTATTAGTACACGATCATTTTTTCGTGTACTACACTCAAAATGACAATTTTATGGGTTTTCATATTCAAATAAAAAAAATTGCGTATGAAAATTCTAATACTATATTTGTGTTCCTCATGATCACGTTAGTAGTTTTTGCCGTATATTAAAGTTATGCTTTTGTGAAATGATCTCTTTAGCGAACTAGTGAATCGTTTATGACATTATTTTAAAACGAAAATGCTTCATAAGTTATTTTTTAAATTGCAACATTTGTTGTTTTTATTAAATAAAATCATGCTCTCGAAAATTTTCCCCAAAACTAAAAAGAAAATCCAACTCAATGCATTTATGACATTTTTCCCAGAACAAAAAGGAAAGGGAAAGCAAACACAATGCTCTGTTTAGATGCAATTCTCTGGTGGTACTTTCCAAAAACCAAAACGCTTAATTTAGAACATTAATGTTAAACCATAACACTAATCAATTAGTAACCGAGATATTAAATTGTATACAAATTATTAATCTATTCAAGTTTCTAATATAAACAAACTAGCTGTTCTACAAATAAATAATTATGAATATTTAACAAAAACTGAAACTTAAATTTCTAAACGAGTCTCTAAATGATTTTAGCTTCAGAATCGAAGAATTAACGCACAAAACAATTGGATTATTTTTCGAAAAGATTTGAAGCTAATTTTACGTCAGCATAATCCTGATAAGCAAGAAGTTAAACATACCAAAGGAATGCTTTTAAAAATAGAGATAACAAACCAATTGAAGTCAAGACTTTTTCAAAACATTGGACAAAAATCATAAGCTAACTATAAGTATTTATTACGAAGGAACAATCAGAATTCAATAAGAATAGTCAAGAGAGTCTAAATTACACGCGAATACAGTTTAATGATTAAAATATAAAGAGAAAAAAAAGTTGAATGATAAATTTGTCTAATTACTAAATTTTAAAGTTAGGATTAATCATAGAAACGATGTGATTGTGTGATTGGAAGTTTATTTTAAATATATCATCATTGATTTTATCGATGAAGAAAAATTAGTACTGAAGTTGTTGAAACGATATGATGGTGGTGTGGTTGGAATTTTATTTAATTAGGAATATCTTTCATATTATCTGATACATAATAGTGTGTCATATATGCTATTATCGATTTCATTATTAATAATTAATAAAGAAAGGAGAATTGGCAGATTAACATCGACTATAGGAAGAGAGGCACCGATGACTGATAAAATAATACTAGAACGAATTGATTTCATTAGCGTCAAGAATTAAAGAAGTATGTATCATCGCTGTTCGTAGTAGGTAAAATTGGGAAATTAGCATTAATCATAAAATAAACTTATTTGTTAATGAGAATGACAATGAATTGATTACCCATCGAGTTATGCTAGATGACTAAGTAAATGAGTAACTTTTTTGTTCACGAAAATTTAATTTTTTGCAGTTTGAAGTTTATTGCATTTCTTGACTTGAAATTAGAATTCAAGCTTTTGTGATTTTCATAAACAATTTTCTCTAATATTTTGAAGAAATGCTTGAACTCGCCTCGCTTGGCAGATTTTTCCACTACAAATTACACTCTTGAAATATCTTATTTAACGTGCTGATTAAACAAATGTAAATAACTTTAAGTTGTAGTTAGTACTAACGACATTTTAACAATAGAGCAAGTTGAAAATTGGTTTCTTAAATTTATTTCATTAGATTGAGACTTCACCACTTTTTATAAAGTTGTCGAAAGTCTAATTTTTACACACTAATTCTGCAGCCATAATTTGTAGAAATGTAACATTTCGTATGTTTATATGCTATAATGATTAAAATAAAACCGAAAAACCGATGATATTCTTTTGTTATCGATCACGTGATTATGGTAAACATCTTTACACGTTGATACATCATGAAATTATGTTAGATTTCATGTTAAAAATCATGGTTCATACGGGATCTTGCATCACGGGTAATCATGAGGCAGTAATGATGAGATAATAGTAATAGTGTTCTCGGGAGTAGATATGGAATATTATTATCATGAACGAGCCACATACAAGCATGTAATAAATAATAGATGAGTAAGGAGAGTGGGAAAAAGGGGTAAAAAGACGAATCACTTATAAAGGAGATTCATCGCGATGAAAAGTTTTGAAGGAGTTTTATTATTTTCTGTATTAAAATAATAAACATTTTTAATCCTGGGAGTTTTGGTTGAGTGACCCACGGAGAGATTACAATATTACCAAAGAAATCGAATACGCCTTCTATCGGCAAAACTAGCAACATATGAAAAGAGAAATAAGTGGTCCAGTCCAGCGAGAGTTCGATTCTAGGCCGCTAAAACAAAACTCACCTGATCGAACAGTCTCCCGGGTTGTTCAGAAGAATACCAGCAATCGATCCGGCTAGGTAAAAATGTTCTAATATTTCCTTTTTAAGTAATTTGTACAATAAAGCCCTTGAAACAGTTACACATGATTTACATGGTGATGACTTTACATACGATGTAGAAAGTCCTTTACCTCTTAAGGGAAGAAGGCAGAAAAAAACTATGAGAAAAAAAAAGATCATCATCACGTTTAACCTTACAGATATAGTTTCTTTTTTTTCCAATAAGAATGCCATTCTCTTTACATACGATGTACGAGGGTGACTGCGCACTGATTTTGTTTGTCCTTTACCTCATCGAGGAAGGAAAAACGATCATCCGTTGTTCTC